GCCCCCCCCCCCACACAGCGCCTCCCTCATTATCAACATCTCCCACCAGAGTGGGACATTCGTTAAAATCAGTGAACCTACAGTTACACATCACTGTTACCCAAAGTCCATAATTCACATCAGGGTTCACTCTTGGAGTTGTACTGTCTATGGATTTGGACAAATGTCTAATTATATGTATCCATCATTATTAGTATCATACAGAGTAGTTTCACTGCCCTAAAAATCCTCTGTATTCTGTCTGTGGTGGGTGTGTTGGAGGAAGGGTGCCAGCTTGAGAGCCTGGTTATCTCAAGACAGGGAGAGTCTGGGCCTAGGCCCCTAGGGAAATGGTACTTCCATTGTGAGAGATGAGGAGCTCCCTACCCCACTTGGCGCTTTTTGGGTCTCCACTTGGGCAGACATCCTGACGAAGAGCTGGTTAGGAAGAAGCATAGGACAATGGAAAGCCTCTGCCCTCAGGAACACAGGGAGGCAGGTGACAGGGCTCTTGCAAGGAGGCGTCTGGCCCGGTTTCTCCTCGTCTCCCAGGTAGCTTCTGGGTGGCCCACAGGCCTGGCCCCTATTTCTGGCCAGCTGCCTGGTGCCTGGGTGCTCCAGCTGGCCTCTCTGCTCTTGTTCCCCAAGAGCCTGTGATACCTCCTTATTGCTGGTGGAGACCCTGAGGCTTGCCTGGAAGACACCTTCAGGTACGGCTGGCTGGAGGACACCAGTGGGGGCGATGACCCACCACCAGGTCTTCTTTCACTATGACTGGAGGGGGAGAGGGTATTTTTGCTTGTCTTTGCTGGGGCTTTTACCACATTCAGTGAACAAGGACATAGGGACTGGTGAGTGGGAGACTGTCAGGGGTAGGGCCAGCTGGGTGGTTTTGGCAGGAAGGAGTAATGTAGTTGGGGAGGAGATGGACTGGTAGTAGACCAGACCATCCACAGACATGGACTGATGACCAGGTTCTTGTCGGGGAGAGGCAACGAAGGGAAGAGTGGGTAACCCCTCTGGGGGTGCTGGTAGGCCGACCCCACCATGCCTTCCCCCTTCTACCCCCTCTCTCCAGGATGGGTAAGTCAGGTCCTGCCCTTGGAGATGTTCAATCCAGGGGCCAGCTGCCCACTTAAGGGTATTTGGGGTGCTCACTGTGGGCCACAGTCCTCACCAAGCTGACATATCCCTACATCATGAGATTTTCTTTCCACCCCCTTCTCTGTCCGGTAGCCCCTACCCACAGGATGTGACACTCGAGAAGTGCTCTGCACCAGCCAGGAGCAAGACTGGGGCTGAAACTTTGACAAGCAGTGCTTTGAACAGAGAGGGGCTTATTTCTCTCCTCTAACTGAATGGTGGCTGAAGGGCTTGGGCAGAGCCATCAGAGCCCTAGGCTCTCCTGGGTTGCCCACCTACTTCAGCAAAGCAACTATTTTGCCATAAATCCCATACATTGCATGAGCCACAGCTTCCTCACATGGCCTCACCTGGTTGCCAGGGGCTCTGGAGCAGGGAATGTTCTAATCAGAACTGGGATTCTCTCAGTGAGGATGAAGGGGGAGAGGATCTCAGCAGGGCGGCAGCCATGTCTGCCAATGCCTCCTGGTGCAGGTGTCCTATTGTTAAGCGATAATTATTGAACCTATTGATGCCAGATGTATTACTTTTCTATTGCTCCTAGAACAAATTACCACAAATTTAGCAGCTTAAACCAATACACATTTATTATCTCACAGTTTCTGTGGGTCAGATGTCCAGCATGGTGTGACTGGGTCTTCTGCTTAAGGCCTCACACGGCTGAAGTGAAGGTGCTTCATCTCAACTAGGAAAGAACCCACCTCCATATTCATTCAGGTTGTTGGCAGAATTCAGTTCCTTCTAGTTGTACGACTGAGGCCCCTGGCCCCCATCGTCGTCAAAGCCAGTATAGCACATGGAGCCCTGTTCTGAGTCTGGCTTCCCCTTCTGCCACATCTCTCTGACTACCTGGAGAAAATTCTCTGCTTGTAAAGGCTCATGTGATTACATTGGGTCCACCCAGATAATTCATGATAATCTCCCTAATTACATTCTGTAACCCTAATTACATCCTCAAAGTGCCTTTTGCCATGTAACGTAACATATTCCCAGGTTCCAGGGATTATAGCGTAGACCTCTTTGGAGGCCCTCTGACTACCACTGAGGTACAGGGTCAGGAGGTAGGCAGATAGCAATAGCCAAAAAGAGACAGTCTCCACTCATGGAGCTTACCCCCTAGAAAGGAAGATTAACTCACAAATAGAAATATGGTAATGACCTTGAAGGACAGGACAGATGCTGGGCACATTACAGGACCTGACAGAGCCAGGAACTCTGAGTGCTTTCCCAAGGAACTGAGAATTTCAGGGCCAATGCCCAAGCCAGGAGCCAGGAGCATGGCATGGAAGGTCAGTGGACAAGGCCCAGAGAACAAGAGAGGGTGGTGCAAGCTGTGGGGTGGGGAGGTTACCAGGGCATTGTGACCCTACTACCTCTAATATCAGAGAAGACTATCACCAGTATTTAGACCACTAGGTCCTCACAACACCCTTCTGTAAGGTGGAAATTACTGGCATCCCCAAATTACAGGTGAGGAAATTGAGGTTCAGAGTGGTCAGCCAAGTATCCAAGCTAGTAAGAGGGGGGGCCTGGGAATTATATCGCCTCCTTAGAAAATCAGTGCTCACTGCTACTGGAAACAAGTTGGGGGAGGGTAAGAACAGACGGCAAATGGCTCAGAGGCTGTCCTGATCAGAGGAGGATCCCCTGTACTACAGTAACAACCTGAAAATGGCTGTGGCTCACCTTCAGGGGCATTGCAGGTGTTTGCTGGCCAGGCTTCACCCTGTCACCCACTTCCGCTATCTCAGAGAGCAGTAAACCAGGTGCTAGCTTTTGAACCTTCTGCCTGGAGTCACTCGTGTCATTTCTGTTCACATTTCACTGGGCAACGCAAGTCATATGGCCAGAACTGCTGCTAGGGTCAGGGAAATATGCTCCTCCCTCAAGAGGCCAGGCCAGGCCAAAGGTAATGCCAGCCAGCTAGCTTAGTCATGGTGAGGTGGGTGGAGAGAAGTGAGAATAATGGGTGACAGGGGAAGGAGATACATTCCACTGGCAGGTAATTAGGACTTAGAGGAAAAGCAATGCACTTGGATTTGGACATAGAGCAGGATGTGCTATGTTGGCTGCTGGGCCTCAGAAGAACGTCCTGGGCTAGAGACATGGCATAGAGTGCATTAATCAGTGCACCAGTGGCTATCATCAAGGCCATTTTGTGCTGGGCCACCTGAACCTATTGCATGTCCCAGAGACCAAGGATAGAGCCTTCCTGGAGAGTTCTGAGGACTTGGCCAAACACATGTCCCATCTAGCACCTAAGCTTACCACCTAGAAAGGAAGATTAGCTCACAATGGACTAGAGAGATCCGTTCCCCAGCACAGCACCCTAACCAGGAGGCTCCTCAGATTGGGAGTGGGGGTGGCCACTTAGCCACAGGCCCTCTGCCCAGTGATGACAGGGCTTGCAGGCTTACCTCTGGCTCTCGGTATGGCCAGGGCCCCAATTCAGTTGCTGCCCTGTCCTCTTCCTGCCATCTCATGGCTATCTTCATTCACCCATTCATTTATTCAGCCAGTATTTAGTCTTGTGTGCTTGGCACCCACTAGATGCCCACTGAGCTAAAGTGGAAGAGACAAAGAATTCAGCAGGAGCTGAGAGGGTACCCTAGAGGGTCTGACTAGGGTGGGGCTTCCCTGAAAGCTCAAGTTCCCAGACCCGCAGAGAAATTGTCCAAGGGACCTGAAGTCTGGGGGTGGGCCAGAAGTCTACCTGCTGAGGACTGCCTTTGGCTCAAAGAGCTGTGCCTGGGCCACACCTCCTACGCCTCCCGGCCTCCTCGCCCACCCTGAAGGGGGCGGGGGGACTGCGGGGAAGGCACCTGGGCGGTGACTCTGTTGTGGCAGCTCTCCTGCCACCTGAGGCGATCCCTCCCC